CCCCCCCCATTCCCAACTCGACATACTGTGTGCCCCCCAGCCTCTTTCTTACTGGAGAAAAAAGGTGTTGATTTTCATTGGCCCCATCTTCTACAGCATGTCTGCAGTTGTTTAAAACTTGTCCTGTACAAGCATGGCGTCTGCCGACCGGCCTGCTGTAGCTCCTCCTCCATTCGCTGGTCTCTCCACGCGGACACTGAACACAGAGCGGGTTATTCTTCGGCTCGTTGCATTCCTTTGCTTTCTGTTTTGTGCACCCCCCCCCCCCCTAGGCTTTGCGGCTCAGGTTGAGTCAGCTTAGGAATGTTTTGAAAGGCAGCTTGCGCAAAGATCTGGTCGCCACCCATCTGCTGGCGCTGCCTTGATTCGCCTGCCGTCCGCCAAGGGCCCCGGGGCCGTGGGGCCCGTGTGCTGCAGACGTGCTTGCCGTCAGCCAGAGAGTGAGACACGCATGTGCGGTATGCCACTGTGTCTGCAGAGCGCTGGAGTCTCTGTGCTGCTGTGCTGCATTAGTCGTCTTCCTGCTTCTGGGGGATTTAGGTGAGCCTTGTAGAGAACCTCCCCCCCCCCCCCCCCTGCCTAGGGTCGTCTGCCTCGGTCTGGCCTGCGTCAACGTGAGCGCCGAGCACATGGCCCACCGCAATTGAATGATGTCACACCCTGGGGGGGAGGGGCTCCCCCTTCATTGCGGCGCCATGGAGACGAGCATTTCGGCTCTGCCTGAATGGAGGGGGGTGGAGCCAGCACTGGCTGTTTGAGGAAGCGCTTTAGAATCGCAGCCCGGTGGCTGCAGCTCGCGCTGCTATGACGACACAGTGCGCCGGCCACTTGCACGCACACGCCGCCCCGCGCGCACCAGTAAATATTTGCACATCGACTCCCATTGAAGAAGAAAATGCAACAAGCTACATTTTTCCGTTTTTGAAAATTTAAGTCTGATAAATTATAGTGGGCAGCCAGCAAACGTTGAGTGCCCCCCCCCCCATGCCTGTCCCCACCCACTGAACCCGGTTAGGCTGGTTAAAGCTGAAATGTCGCTTGTATGTGCTTTCTCCAATCAGCGCTGAGACGTTTGATGACAGACTAGAGCTCAGCCCCCTCCCCATTCCGAGCAGGGAAGAAAGAGCCCTTTTTCAGGCTTTGTGTGGCAGTCTGGTCTGGCCCCTCCCCTGCTCCCCCTCCAGGGCCTCACGTGCCCCCCTCGCCCCCACGTGGCCTGGACCCCACCCCCGGTGAAACACAACACTTTAAATGTGTGAGTGTGGAGTGGCTCTCTGCGTTTGGGTAACCCTGGACGTTTTCCCTGGAATTCACTGACTCACAGCTCGCTGCGTGCCTGCCCCCGAAACGGCCCCCAGCGCCTCTCCTGGGGGGGGGGGGGGCACTCCCGTAAACTGCTCCGTGTCCCACGCCAAAGTGGGTTAGCTGGCCAGCGGGCTCGGTTCTGCAGGAGGGAATGCTTTGTGATGGATGATTTGGGTGGTGGGGGAGGGGAGGGGTGGGGACTGGCCCTTTAAGTTCCTTTCCGCATTTTACATTAGTAGCATTTTTGCTGGGAGGCTTCGCAGCAGGGGTGGTAAAGGCTGGATGTTGGAAAGGGATGGGGGGTCTCGGTACTGGGAGACATTTAACAAAAAAGAGATGGTGCGTCCAAACAGGAAGGAGACGCAGCTGGAGGCGGGGGTGGGGGGCTCGCTGGGAGCTTGCGTCAGCGTTACTGCGACGCCTCGCTCTTCGCCTCAGCGGCACGCCGACACCCCCGGCGCGAGTCTTTGGATCATTCTGCATGAATCCTGGGTACGAACACTGACCCAGTTCTATTTGTTCCTGGGCCGACGTTGGAAAGGGACAGCGGGGCAGAATTTGATCCTCTGCAGTGCCCCCCGGTGGTTCGTGTGAGGTCTGGGCATGCCTGCCTTGCACACGTACGCAGAACACGGCCTCGGGGGGGGAGGGGCTGGGCCGAGGCGGGGGCCCCAGGCTCATGTCCCAGCCGAGGCTCTTGGCACGAGTTCATGGCCTTGGGGGGGTTCTGCTTATGGCTGGTGGGCGGTGTGTCACAGCCCCCCCTGTGCGACGCGGGCCATGTGCTCTGCACTCGCGTTTTACCACGTCTTTGCCGGAGCTGCCTTGAGCACGCTCACTGCCTGCCGCTTAG